AATCCAACCTACTTTGCTTGTACTGTATCAAGATTATTTTTTTTCAAGTAAATGTCGAAAACTACACTCAACATTGAAACGCTTGTTCTAAACGGGAGCATCCAGCGGCGGAGCCATCTCCTCTGTAGACCTGGTTAGAGCTAGAGACCATATGGGCTGGAGGTGTAGGCTAGGGGCGTCGGCTAGGAGTGTGGGTTGGGGCTTTGGTTGTCGGTTGATTATGACGGTGGACCACGTGATACGGGCTAATTCAAGTATTATACTTAAACAGTAACAAATATAACAAAATTCTGTTTTTAAGAGCGCATTCATTGGCCTTTTCACTATTTCATTAGTTTTATAACTAGTCAAGACGTCATTAAATTATCCAACATTTAAAAATAAATTCATTTTAAAAAATCAATAAATTAACAAATTAAAAAAAAACGAAAACAATTACATTGTATTTTACATATATACAAGTGTGTTACTCCACACACGGGGCTTTCACACATGTTTAAGATTTCCCATACCCCCTGTACAATTACGAGGCCCGATGGCGTGGTGACCGCATGGCAAGTGTTGGCTACGCTATTTCAGATCTTAGATTATAGTGTCATTATAATCAGCTGATTGTGTCCTCTCACTGTAACCGCTTCGCGAATTCGCCCCTGGGATGGCATCTGGTCTCACCCTTCTAAATTCTAAATAAAACTGATAACATACTTAGCCTATTATACTTACAGTTTACAGTGACTATAGAGATCTATATAGATATAAAGAGTGCCCCATCCCGAAATTCGAAAAGGTTTCTCTTAAAAAGTCTATTCGGAATGTGGAATCGATATTAAGATTAAGGGTTGTTGAATATATCATGGATTTCTGAGTCCTAATAAATATTTAACATGTATTATTGGTATATGTTGAACTTCTTAAAAAGTCATTTTGAATACTTATTAACGCACCGATATTTCGAGAAAGAAGAAGATCTTTTGCTAAAATAGACTAAAATTCGACCTTAAATGGAAATCTTAGCGATGTTGTGCAATGTATCCCTCAAGTGATTCCCAAACATTTCTAGCGCTGTTTGTCGCCACTGACAACTGATTCCCAAACATTTCTAGCGCTGTTTGTCGCCACTGACAGCTTTTTAACGGTGTCAGTATCCCCACCCCTCTCATTTAAAACTTAACTTGCTCCGTGGCTTTTCATAAAACTTTTAACTGTTAAACCGACCTTGCAACCTGTTGATATTTATTAGGGAATAAGAAACACAGGGTAAAAAAAAAAAAGAGGGGAGAAAGGGGGGGGGGGGGGAAAAAAAAAAGAGGAAGAAAGAAAAAAAAAAAAAAAAAAAAAAAAAAAAAAAAAAAAACAAAAAAAAAAAAAAAAAAAAAA